TGGCCCCCAACTTTTGGGGGACTGATTCCATAGAGCAGTATTGGCTAACCTTTTTGAGCTCCTGCGCCAAAAAATGTGTGCACGCCGGCATTCGCGCGCTTGCGTGACAGCACCCAGAAGGCAATGCGTGCACCCCTCCTGCGCATGCATGCGCAATTATGCCCCCATGCCTCCCCCACGCCCCCTTACCTGCACTGCACCTGGTTTGAGGCCTTTTTCGGCCTCCCAGAGACTTGAAAAAAAAACTCTGCAGGTTTTGCAGGCTGAATAATAGGCCCGTTTCATCACTTCCGGTATTACAAGGAGTGATGAAAAGGGCCTATTTGGCCTGTAGAGGCTTTTTTCAAGCGTCTGGGAGGCCGAAAAAGGCCTCAAACCAGCCAAAAATTAGCTGTGAGGAGCGTGCACGTGCAGTGAGGTAACTTTGCCTGCAGCTCCGGTGCCGGCACAAATGGCTCTGAGTGCCACCTATGCCATAGGTTCGCCATCATGGCTATAAGAAAAGTTTTTCTCTGGGCTGGAGGGAGCATGGATTTGGGATTCTACCCATGGATGGGGCATCGCTTGTTTGCACAACCCAGTTACTGGCATGCCACGAAGTGGTGAGGGTCTATGGACCAGGGTATGGGCCCTGGCCTTAAAGGGTACCTCTAACACAAATGGGAGTTACCACCTTCGCAACGTCCCCACGGACACACGATCAACAATTCGGATACTCGGCTAACAGGTTCATCTTTTTGAAGGCTGCAGTGTCACCTTTTGCAACTATCCAAGCAAGGTCAACGGGAAAGCCAGATTTACTTAACAACTTAACAGCAGCGGTGATTCACTTTACAACGATGGCAAGAAAGGTCGTAAAATGGGATAAAACTCACTTAACAAACTGTCTCAATTCACTTAACAGAGCAAACAACAGAATTTCATTTTTAATGTGTACCAGTGTGTCCACAGTAAAAAATGACAGTAAAGATTATCTATCTGTCTCTCTCTGTCTCTCTGTCTCTGTCTCTGTCTCTGTCTCTGTCTCTCTCTCTCTCTCTCTCTCTCTCTCTCTATCTATCTATCTTGTTCAGCAACAGAAAATTTGGGCTCAATTGTGGTTGTAAATTGAGGACTACCTGCAACTTACCTGATCTTCATCTCCTTAGCTAATGTGCAAAGCAACTACCAGAAATCCTCAACTTATGACCGTAATTGAGCCTGGAATTATGACTAAGTAAGTTGTGCTGATTATTAAGCAGGTGACCATGCCTGATTTTACTACCTTTTATGTGGCGGTCGTTAAGTGAATGCTGAAGTTGTTAAGCGAACCCTGTAGTCATTAAGCAAATGCTGCAGCCATTAAGCCAACCCATTTTAGCCAATGGGTAATTTTTTTTGCCAGAAATTTGAACTGAACCACTGATTTCCAGCCCCCCAAAATGGAGGGATCTTTGGTGTTTTATGTGCTTAGTTGTTTTCTTGCAGATGTTTCATAACCCAAACTAGGTAATGAAGCTCAGAAATCAGCAAGGACCCCTTCATTTCAACCCCAAGTGACAAATATTTTCCTTTGTTAGGGAAAAAAAAGTTGTATATCACAGTTGTAACTGTGGGATAGTGCAAACAGCCATAAATGTAGAGCAGTTGCCATATGCAATCCCATGATTATGAGGGGAACAGTTGTCATAATTTGGAAACCAAGTCGTTGGTTCTGGAGAGGTCTGTTGTAACTTTGAATGGTCGTTAAGCCACAAATCATAAGTAGAGGACTATCTCTAGTTATGCATAGATCTCCAGATTTTCCACGGTTTGCAACAGGATGACTCCAAATTGCAAAAACATGCTTTTTTTTTGCTTTCACTCAAAAATGAATATTTTGAGGACGGAAATGATACGATGGAGTCATGCATAAACAGAGAGGAATGGAGTTATGAGATTCTCGTCCAGGTGGAAGTGAAGGGGACTGGAAATAAGAGTTATGTGAAAAAAGTTGTTGGTGTATCTTATGATTTATCACTTTGTTGCTTGTAGATATAAGGAGAACTCATGTACCTGAGACAAATTCCTTGTGTGTCCAATCACACTTGGCCAGTACATTTCTCTTCTCTTCCCTTCCCTTCCCTTCCCTTCCCTTCCCTTCCATTCCATTCTATTCTATTCTATTCTATTCTATTCTATTCTATTCTTCTATTATTTTTTTCTCTTCACTTCTCTTCACTTCTCTTCTCTTCTCTTCTATTATTTTTTTCTCTTCTCTTCTCTTCTCTTCTCTTCTCTTCTCTTCCCTTCCCTTCCCTTCCCTTCCCTTCTATTCTATTCTATTCTATTCTATTCTCTTCTATTATTTTTTTCTCTTCTCTTCTCTTCTCTCCTCTTCTGTTCTCTTCACTTCTCTTCTCTTCTCTTCTCTTCTCTTCTCTTCTCTTCCCTTCCCTTCCCTTCTATTCTATTATTTTTTTCTGTTCTCTTCTCTTCTCTTCTCTTCTCTTCTCTTCTCTTCTCTTCCCTTCCCTTCCCTTCCCTTCCCTCCCCTCCCCTCCCCTCCCCTCCCCTTCTATATTCTACTCCACTCCACTCCATTTTAAATTTCCTCTTATTCTGTTCTGTTCTGTTTTGTTCTGCTTTTCTCTGCTTTGCTCGACTGCCCCATCTGTGTAGTAGCAGCTAGAATAATAATTTCCTTAGCAAAGATTCTTATTCCAATCCAGAAATTTAATATATTGAAGAAATGCAGCTAATCCTGAATTTAGAACCATTCGTTTAGCACATTCAAAGTTACAACTGAACTTTGCAGTGAAAAAAAAGTGACTTACAAACAGTCCTTGGACTTACAACCATTGCAACATTCCCACTCGCCTTATCAAAATTTGAGTGCTTGGCAACTAGCAAGTAATTATTGCATCCTTTGTGGTCATGTGATCTGGTCATTTGCAACCTTCCCAGAAGTTTTGGGACAAGCAAAGTAATATTGACCTCAGGATACCCTTAACAATTGCAAAACCCTTAACATGGCAAAAAGAAGTCATAGGATCGGACACAGTTAAGCATCTTGAATAGCAGTGGAAATAGCACATAGAATAACAGAGTTGGAAGGAACTTTGAAGGTCTTCTAGTCCAGCCCCCGTCTCAAGCAGGAGAACCTATACTCTTCCAGACAAGTGGCTGTCCAATCTTTTCTTGAAAACCTCCAGTGATGGAGAACTCACAACTTCCAGTGGCAAGCTGTTCCGTTGGTTGATTGATCTCACTATTATGAAATTTCTCCTTAGTTCTAGGTTAGTTCTCTCCTTGGTCATAAGTTGTGGTCAGAAATTGAGGACTACCTGAATTTGCTTGTCTGGAATAGCAAAAGAGAAAGACAGGCCATTTTTATTAGAAACTATATAGATATAAGCATTGATTTCTACTTCACGTCCCCATTCCACCCTTTTCTGTGGAGAAAATGAATCACTTACTTTCTGTTCTCAAGAAAAGTCCCCCTCCTTCTAGTCGGAATCTGGTTGAATCATCTTAAAAATTAGATTGTAGATAGTCTGCCTTCAACATGAATATATTCATCAGTGAGGAAATGGATTCATAGCTTTTTTATCTTTGCTGGCAAAATAATGTGAGGGGGCTGGATGCTTAGAAATTAATTCCTTAGAGAGGAAGAAAAGTCCTGTCACTTAGAAATGGGTTAAACAATTGCAACAATTGATATGATTCAATTTCTTTCAATATCGTGATTATCATAATTGAAGCTTGTGGGGTGTGTGTGTGTGTGTGTGTGTGTGTGTGTTCTGCATGTCTCTGTTTCTGTATCGAAACAAGTTTTTATCTCTCCAAATTATATCTTTTTGGCGCCCGTTTCTAATTCCAGACGATTTAGGAAATGTGAACCTTTTACAGTAAATCTAATATTCAAGTAAGCAATTTTGCTGCATCTGCTTGTGGTTTTCCATGGCAAGAGAAAACAAATGTGGGTTGAAAACTGGATTCTACAGAAAGCTGACTGCACAATGGTATAGTTCATGGGAGGGAGGTCAAAAAAGGCAAAATGGCGTCATAACAACAGAAACAAAAGCTAAGTAGGGAGCCGCTGCCTGGTCAATTCTCCTTTAAAAGAAAGTATACAAGTAATCCTGGATTTACAACGATTCATTTAGTTACTGTTCAAAGTTACAACACCACTGAAAAAGAAGTGACATGACCATTTTTCGCACTGACAACCGCTGCAAAATGGAGCAAAACTCACTTAACAACTTAATAACGTAACTTTTGGGCTCAATTGTGGTTGTAAGTCAAGGACCACCTGTACACATATGGACGGTTCATCCAAAATTCTGAATTTCACCGATCTATTTTATATTCCAAATCTCTTGCTCCTTGCAATTCGTGGCAAATGAGATTGTGTTTGGGTGTGACTATCTTTGATTAGAAGAAAAAGGCTGACATCAGTAGAAGCACAACAAAATGAATGAATGGGTGAATAATCTTGTGATTTGGGGGAGTCATTATGTTAGAAATAGAATAACAGAGTTGGAAGGGACCTTGGAGGTCTTCTAGTCCAACCCCTGCTTAGGCAGGAAACCCTGCATCACTTCAGACAAATGGTTGTCCAATCTCTTCTTAAAATCTTCCAGTGTTGGAGCATTCACAGCTTCTGAAGGCAAGTTGTGCCAACAGAACTGAGAAAAGTGACTTATAAATGTTAAGAAAGTAAAGAAGTAGTAAGTAAAGAAACTATCCAAATATGACAGCATTTTCTCTGTGTTTCGGATTGCTGAAATATTGGCTCAAAGACTTTTGCTACTGTTCATATACCTTTGTCCCAGTGGGTATGTGATCAGTGTCGTGTTGGCAGAAAATTATAATTTTTGTCATATTCGCAGCTGCTTAGCAAAGCTTCCCAGTGAAGCCAGAGCTGGTTTCCATATTTCAGACTTTTATCTTTTTTTAAAAAAAGACAGAGTTGTGTTAATATATTTGTTTGGAAGTTTGGCTTATTGTTTCTGTTGGTGTCTCTTTCCTATCCTTAGGAAATGCATATCGAGAATGCATGGAAAACGGGACATGGGCTTTCAAAGTTAATTACACGCAATGTGAACCGATTCTTGACGAAGAGGTACGTTAATCTGTCAGTAATTGGTTTTGCTGGGTGGAGGGATCGGGTCGAGGGAGGTGTTGCAGGTGGATTCATAAACATCAAAGTGGAACAAAGCCTCACCCCTGTGGATCGTGTGATTGCATCCATCCATCTTCATATTTTTTCTACACCTTCTAATCAGGTGCATCTAGAAAAAGTGTCAAAATCTGCAAGGTGTTAGTGTCATATCCCTGTCAGAGTCTGAAGGAGGAAGCTGGACAGCTGAGAGTGAGTGGGAGAGTGGCTCAGTTGGGTGTGGAGAAAACTGGGGAAGGGCAAAGTCCAGCTGGGCAGAGCAGGGAAGAGGTAGAACAAGCAAGAGGGAGTTCAGAGGAAGACCCAGGCCTACCCCCTCTTCATCCTAGGGCACGCAGGGAGGAACGGAAAAGAGAGCAACGTGGTTTGCATGGCTCGCTGGGGAGGAAAGGGCCCTGATTCCCTTTATTAGCCACAGCTGGGAAGAGAATTTAAAAGAAATGCATGCTGAGTGCGGCAGCTGCTGGGAGCAAATGTGAGCTTATCTTGTGTTGACTTTTATTATCTGTGCTCCTGGTGTCTTCCCAACCATGTTGAGTTATGGCTGTTCCTTTACATCTAGAATTCCTGCTCCTGCCCTGCCAGACTAATTACCTCATTTTGCCTTGTTTGGACTTATAGTTACAGTTTTTGTTGATCACGTTTTGGACTTGATTCTCTGCAGCCAAAGGCTGTTCCTGGGAGAGTTTTTCTCCAGCCAGAAGGTAACCAGGACATTGGGGGCAAAGTTGGACCTAAAAAAGGGACCCCTACTGATTATCTGACAGTGTTGCCTTTGTGCCATGCCCCAGGTCATCACAGTTAGTTGCAGAATCAATGCTCAAAATCTTTTGCATGTATCACGCAGGTAAACAAGTAATCATGTGGTTACACCAAGCATCTCACTCATGTTGTACGCACCATTGGGATGCTCATGCTAAGAGGGATGAAAGGAAAAGTGAACACAACATGTCCATTTTAAGAATTGCTTCCCATTTGCTTTTCTGAAGGCTAAAAGTAAATATAAACTTCCTCCTCGGGGTATAAATCCTACGGTTCTTAGAGAATGCTTTGAAGTTTGTTGACCTTCCCTGAAAATAATCACCGTTCTTACTTTGAACAGCCTGCTGGATCATTAATTGATTTAATTAAATTAATGTTTAATTGATTGCTGGATCCTTAATTAGTCACCACATTAAAAAAAAAAGATGTTGAGACTTTGGAAAGAATGCAGAAAAGAGCAACTAGGATGATTAAAGGCCTGGAGACTTAAACATAGAGAGAACGGTTGCAGGAATTCTGTTGGGCTAGTCTAAAGAAAAGAAAAATTAGGTGTGACATAATAGAATATTCCAGTATTTGAGGGGCTGCCACAAAGAAGAGGCAGTCAACTCATTTTCTAAACTCTCACAAAGCAAGACAAAAAACAACGGATGGAAACTAGTCAAGGAGAGGATTAGTTCATTCATTCTCCTGGAATGAAGGAGAAACTTCCTAATGGAGAGAAGAATTAACCAGTGGAACAACTTGCCTCCAGAAGCTGTGGGGGTATAGAGTCTCCTGCTTGAGCAGGGGGTTGGACTAGAAGACCTCTAACGTCCCTTCCAGCTCAATTCTAATTGATTGATATATTATTTTAGGGTAAGCATAAGATAACAGAGTTTGAAGGATCTGGCTCATATTTATGACGGTCACAGTGTCTCAGGGTCATGTGATCCTTTTGCAACTTTCTGACAATCAAAAGTCAACAGAGAAGGGATTCACTTAACAACATGTTACTAACTTAACAACTGCAGTGATTCTGATTGTATGAATGCAACTAACAGAGAGAGAGAGAGAGAGAGAGAGAGAGAGAGAGAGAGAGAAACCAGGGGTAGGATTCTACTGGTTAGGACCGGTTTGGGCGAACCAGATGTTAAAAGTTACATCTGGTTCGGTGAACCTGTATTTCAACGGACCGGCTGGGGCCCCCCCCCCCCCCCCCCC